GGTTTAGGGTTTAGGGTTTAGGGTTTAGGGTTTAGGGTTTGGGGTTTGGGGGCAGGCCAGTGGGTGCACAACCACATGGAGGGCCAGGGCAAAATGGAGTTGACGGATGGGAGGGTTTACGAGGGCGGCTACAAGTGCGACAAGAAGCACGGCAAAGGCGCGCCAAACCCTAAACCCTAAACCCTAAACCCTAAACCCTAGGGGCGGGCCGGAGGCCTTCTGCGGCTGCTGAAGGCCCGCTGCAGCAGCAGCGGCGCGCGGCTCGCGTCGCGCTTGCGTCGCCGAGAGCGGCGCGGCCCAGGGTTTAGGGTTTAGGGTTTAGGGTTTAGGGTTTAGGGTTTAGGGTTTTGCAGGGAAAGTGACCTGGCCCGACGGGCGGTGGTTTGAGGGCGAATGGGTCGACGGCAAACAACACGGAGTTGGATGTTATTTTTCTCCCGAGGGTTTTCCATTATCTGAAGTGGAGTGGAGTTTTGGCCGCAAGATTTCCGTCACTGAAGGTCCAAACCCTAAACCCTAAACCCTAAACCCTAAACCCTCCAGCTCTACTTGGGCAGAAGTAAACCCTAAGCTGGGCTCCCCCGCGTTTAGGGTTTAGGGTTTAGGCTGGGGGTTGTAGGCGTGGCCGTTTTACCGGCAGGCGAGGGTGTCCGAAGCCGCACAGCGGGGAAAAGGGTTTAGGGTTTAGGGTTTAGGGTTTAGGGTTTGGGGTTTGGCGTGCTGCAGCAACGGCTAATGTCCTTCCTGCTTCTTCTCCCCTGGGGCCCCTCGAGGGTACTGAAGAGGGGCCCCCCTCCTCCACAGCTTCGGAGAGCCGGGGGCCCCCCGCTGAGTCCGAAGCTGAAGCTCATGCTGCTGCTGCTGCTGCTGCTGCTGCTGCCCCGCAGCAGCAGCAGCAGCAGCAGCAGCAGCAGGGGAGTCCCAGCAAGTGGGGCAAATCGGCTCGCAAGAAAAAAGAGAAAACGCCGAAGAAGAAAAAAGACGCAAAGCATGCGGAGGCTTCAGCAGCAGCAGCAGCAGCAGCAGACACGCCTGCAGCAGCAGCAGCAGCAGCAGACGCGCCTGCAGCAGCAGCAGCAGCAGAAGAGCCTGCAGCAGCAGCAGCAGCAGCAGCAGCTCCGAAGAAGAAAAAAGGGTTTTCTCTCTTCGGCAAGAAGGAGCCGAAGCAGCCAGCGGCTTGAGGGTTTTCAGGATTTGCTGCAGCTGATTAGAAACAAAAAATAAAAATAAATAAAATAAATTAAATAAATAAATAAAATAAATAAATAAATAAATAAATAAATAAATAAATAATTAGAAAGTGGTGCTGCTGCCTACGGGCAGCGCCTGCTGCGTTTGCTGCCATTTAAAACAGGTTGGCTCTGTTCTTTCTTTTGCCGCGAAAACCCTAAAAAAGGGTTTGGGATCCCGCAAACCCTAAAAAAGGGTTTGGGGCCCCGCAAACCCTAAAAAAGGGTTTGCAGCAACGCTGCCGCGTCGAAATGATTTGCTAAATGTGTAATAGACAAAAAACAATTATTTGTTCTCTTATGGATTAATACTTTTGTCCATAATGCCCTTGGCAAAAAAACATTAAATGCTCGCGCGCACCTGGGGCTTAGGGTTTAGGGTTTAGGGTTTAGGGTTTAGGGATTTTTCGATTTTACTTCTCACGGGAAAAGGCATTTATTTCAAATTTAACAAATTGGCATTTTCCAGAAATCACTAATTCAACTGAAGAAGTTAAAAGTCGATTTTAAAAAATGAAATAATGAAAAGTTCTTTTTCAATTTTAATGAATTTCTTTTTAAATGTTTTTCTTTTTGTTCTTCAAAAGTTTAAAAGATTTATTTTTATTTTTAATTCAAAAATAAAAAACAAAAAAGGGTTTATTGTCTTCGCCTTTGGGGGCTGCGGTGTACGTACACCTAGCTGTCTCTTTGCTGCGGGCAAACCCACAAAAACCCTAAACCCTAAACCCTAAACCCTCGCTGCGTGTGCAGCGAGGGTTTAGAGGGTCTTTGGCGCGGGCGACAAGCTGTCTGTACACCGCAACTTCGCAAAGGAGCAGCTTTTCTGGTGCTCCCTCAACCCACGGATTAGGGTTTAGGGTTTAGGGTTTAGGGTTTAGGGTTTAGAGTTTAGCTGTTGGAGCAGCAGGCAGCGCGCAGCAGCGAGTTTGGCGGCTTGAGATGCACTTCAGGGTTTGGGGTTTCGCACCTTCAGCTAGGGTTTAGGGTTTAGGGTTTGGCGCGGAGAAAGCAGCAGTTTTTAATGAAAAAAGGAGGCAAACGAAAAGGAGAAATGTTTTATTTGTATTTAATTAAATTAATTATATTTGTTTTTGTTTTGTTTCTCTTTTGAGGTGTCTAAACCCCAGGTGTATGTGCAGCGAGGGGGGCTGGGGAGCGAGGTGTACAGACACCCGAGAGCAGCACCCAGCTCCGAAAAGAACGAAAAGTGCCATTTGAAGGCCACAAAAGAATAAAAAAGAAAATAATTAAATTAATTTAATTCTATTTTAACAATTGCGGAAAAAGCGGCGTTGAAACACCCCAAAACTTCCTCCATTTGCCCGGCTTTCTTTCCGGCTCGCCAGCAGCAACCGCTGCTGGCTAGCTGCTGCTGCTTCTGCTGCTGCTGCTGCTGCTGCGGGCCAATTTGAGTCGTTTTTGAGTTGGTTTGTTTTTAAAATATAAAAATAAAACAATAAAACAAAAAGAAGAAAAAACAGCTCCGGAATTCGCGACAAGTGCGGGGCCGCGGGGCCCCACCGGCTCGCCGGCGAGAGTGAAAGAGGGTTGAATTGCGTTGAATTTTTCTATTTTTTAATTTTTTTGAATTAATTAAATAAAATTAAATAAAATAAATGGAAAGAAAACACCAAAGAGGCGAAACACTCTACAGTTTCGGCGTGTACGGACGGCTGGGGGCCCCGCGGGTGTGGGGCCCCAGGGGCCCCCCGGGGCTCGCGGACTTGGAAATAATTTGAAGAGGAGACTTTGGACTTTATTTTTGCATTTGCTGCGCCTTTTTCGCCTTTAAAAGCGAAGAAGACTTTCATAAATTTGCCTTCGAAGTCCGGCGGCGTTCGGCGAGCAGTTTGCGGCGCTGGGGTGTACGTACACCCCAAAACGCGCGCGCGCACGCCCAAGAAGCTGCGGTGTACGTACACCTGAAGCTGCCGGGTGTACGCGCAGCTGCGCGCAGCAGCTGCCAGGAAAAAGGAGAAAAGAAGACTTTTATTTTTTGAAATGAATTTGGAAAGCAAAAGAAAACAACTGGAGGAGTTTTTGCGCTTCGGCGGAAAACTCAAAACGCTGAAGCGCGCGGGCTGGCTGCGGTACGTACACCCCAGCGCCGCGGAAAGCGTCGCCGACCATTCTTTCGGAGTTGCATTTCATTTCATTGGACTTTCCGACGAAGACTTCCTCGTCAATGGCCAACTCGCAGACAGAAGCAAGTCCGCAGCAGCAGCAGCAGCAGCAGCAGCAGCAGCAGCAGCAGCAGCAGCAGCAGCAGCAGCAGCAGCAG